TGTTGAGGGGAGGTATTACGGGTGTGTGTCCAACACCCGTTGCACAAATAAGGAGGGTTTCTTTACCACCAAGAGATCCCCCACGCCGCGTTGGTGGGGGGGGGAATTCTGGGAGTTAAAGTCCACTCATCTTAAAGTGGCCAAGTTTGGACAACACTGACCTATTGCCTCTTGTGCACAGAGTTGGGTATTAGGAGTAGGGAATCTCTGGCCCTTCACATACTGTTGGACAATCACTTCTATCATTTCTAGCCATTGTCCACACTGCCTGGGCTTGACTGAAATTAAAGAGCAACAACTGGAAAACTGAAGGATCCCTATCTCTGCTATACACACCATCTTAAAAGTCTTAAAAAGATCACCTTAAAAAGGTCAGGACAAAAACTCATTATATAACTGAAATTTTCATTTAACTGAATTTAAAGGTCATTCATTAAGGTCATATGATTATTCCCTATACATGTAGTAATTTCCTCCTCTCAGTATTACAGTTAACAGACTTCTGTCAATGGCAGCTTTTGGAAGGACTCTGTGCTGCTGCTGAGAGGCGAGACGCAGATTGCACCCTCTACCCCCATCTAAAAATTTAAACTAGGATTAGTGAACTCTGGATTCAAGTCTTTATTCAAGTCATGGAACTTGCTCTATTACCACACCCCCTTCATGATCTCTTATTTATCTTTTAGGGTTGCTCTTAAAGGAAAAATAGAGGAGAACTCTGTATGCCACCTAGAAACTTCTTGGAAGAAGAGTAGAATAAAGTATTTACAATTCAACAAGGCTATACGCCTGTCAGACCCACTAGGTAGACCTGAAATCAACTCCACAGGAAGGCTAAGACTGACTATTTTTATTGAGATTGGCTGTAATAACAGAATCTTGCAAGACTGATTGTGCTGTCCCTCCTCCTCCTTATAGTTCAGTGAATTAGGGGGCATCTGCCTGAGCTGTTTCTGAATATTATCTGGATGTTCTGGACTTAAAAAATGCTTTAGCCCCCTTGCTGCCTTGGCAATGCATATCTCTGTTAAGGTCATCTACTTTACTCTCTACAATGCCCCAGTTTCTCACCTATGTAGACTCTCCTTATGGTCCCACCATTATCTGAGTCATGGATCTCCGCAATGCCGGGATCTTCATGCTCCATCTCAAAATGAGGATTTTCAAGCCAGAATGTATCTGTTATGAGAAAGAGAGAGCTAAAGTCAGAGAAGCCACCCTGTGTTTGTGGGTAAAGTAAACATTTGACTCTTGGTGGCTTCGTGGACATGTCCAGTATGTTTTCTCAGCGGCAGCATGGAAGTGGTTGACCACTGCCTTCTTCCAAGATGATTTTTTCAATTCTCAGTCTAAACCTACAATCCTGGGATTTTCTAATAATCTGCCATCCAAGTACTAACCAGGTCTGACCTTGCTTTGCATTCTGAGATCATCCAAGGTCACCTAGGTGTTGCTGGTCTTGGTACTAAATTATACAAACAAGCAATGTTAGTTTAAAGAAAAGGAAACATGATTAGCCACTGTCTGGAGTAAACATTTTTTTTTTTTACTATTTCTCCTCTGATGGGCTTCATGCTAACCCACAAAGACCTCCCTAGCTCTTTGCTATTCCCTAATCACCTGTTCTGAAGGCTTCTCTCTCTCTCTCTCTCTCTCCCTCTCCCTCTCCCTCTCTCTCTCTCTCTACCCCTGCAAAACTGCCAAGGCTTACATTTACTTGGGAACCATCTCCTTCACTCTTGAGAATATTCCCTTTAATGCAATTTGTGTAAAATCTACTCAGTATTGATCAAATTCATTCTGTACATGAAGGAATCCTCTTTTGTGCTACCTCCTTTCTGGGGTTCAGATCCAAACTGGCAACATAGTCCTGAGAAAATCCAAGCCAAAGTACATCCTTGACACTCTGCAGAGAATAGCCATTCTAGCTTCTAGCATTTTAAAACGGGTCTTCTTGATGGCAAATGAGGTTCTTCCTATATCATATGATGGGCCAGTGAATCAACCAGCCAGCTCCTGCCTTACTGGGATGCTATAAAATTGGCTAAATTTTAATAGTTTGCTTGTCCCTTTTTTCGCCTTAGAAAATTGTGGGAGCCAATTTAGCTTAATGTTATATGCATACCAGGCATTGATTTGAAAATCCTGGCAAGGTATCATGAGCGGATTCAGAACTTATTTACCAATATGCTGGACTCTAAAGCAAGTACAGGCTCTCTCCAGCATCCTGCCTTTAGCTGCCAGTTACTGGTGCCCCAAGGACCAGGGACATCAGAAGAATCAGGACCCCAGTAGCGATCTTTTCTCCAACTCAAGGGTACTTGGTCATATGGAGCCACCTTGGCCCACTGCCCAGAGCAGTAAGGAATTAGTTATCATATCAAATGCCTTGTCAGAAGCTAGGCTTGAGCAATGCAAGAATCTCAAAAGTATCACAGAAACAACTAGGTCCACTTACCTCCTAGGATGGAGACCTATATATCTGCACCAGGAGATAATGTTGCATGTTCTCCAGCAGCAACTATACTGGTGCTTTCAGCAGCATTTCAACGTATAGACATTAGGAGATGCTGACCTGGTTCACATATGTTAATAAGTTGTAATTGTTTCATTAGTATTTTTAGTATGCTTTGTGAGCTACAGTGATGTGTAAATCATAGTCTGAATGTATTTTACAAATCAAGCCAATTCTGGCTTATTTAATAAACTATGACTAAATAAGCTCTAATTTAGAGTAAGGAAAAATAATTTTTGCGACCTGTCCCTTTTTTAGTTATTTTTTTCAATCTCCAAATCAGGATAACACTGGTGGCAGTTGAATTTTTGCCCTTCTTTTCTCTGCTTTCCACCATTTTTTTTCCAGTTAAAAAAGGTATGTTAGGTTTTCCACTGGCTTAACCTACTTTACTGCTTATTTCAGGAGTGAAAAAACAAACATTTATAGTGTTATTCAACAGTGCAATTTTGGATCGTTCCAAGGGTCACCAAAAGCACTTGAATTCACGTATCAACCCTTTCACTTGTCACAATATCTCAAGTATCCTTGTACATCAGAAGTACAAAGTATTCTGAGTCTCAATACTATAATGAGATTACAAAGCTGAGTCTTGGTACTAAAAAAAAAAAAATTCTGCCTCTTTTTATGACCTAACCCACAGAGACTGTAGGTCGCAAATCAGTAAGACTGAGGAGTGTTCTCATTTCAACTTCCATGTATGTGTAGACAGGCTTTCATTGTAAAACTATCTCAGCTTCTCAACATACAACTGATCATGTGCAACCACCACCAGGCATTAATAGCAACTTTCAGCATGCCAACAAGGGACTTGACCAAAGTCTAATAATGGCCCAATCTTATATTTATTGCCCAAAAGACTGATTTCCCCATCCCACAACAACTTAGCTGTTTATATTATTAAAAATAACAAGTCAAACCCTAACCTGGCAAACAGTCTGGCTCCCATCTTCTACAGTATCTCTGAACTAGGAAAACATTTATTTCCAATTTATTTTTTAAACATGCAGAAGCTGTGCTAGAAAAGGATGAGAGGGGAGACAAGACAATCTGGATTTTGCCGGAAATCCTTTTCTTTCTAAAGTGCAAGAACGCTTGGCCTGGTTCATGAGTTGCAATAAGCCTGGGTTTGCTTAATTATTATTCATAACTAAGCCACCGTTAGCTGGGTTTACACAGTGTTATGTCATAAACCTTAATTTTGCAACCACAATGGCTGTGTTCACACAAGACATTAAACCAAATGAAATTAATTTCATTATAGCTCAGGATATTACACAAGCCGAGTCTCTTTTTCTCTTGAGTTTTACCTACTTACCTACCTACCTACCCCCACTACCAAGTTTCCTCCACTGCTCAAGGACTGCCCTGGAGAATAATCATTCATTCTAGTCTTTGTTCCTCTACCTTAGAAACCCCTAACTTGGTGGACGCGGGCTGTGGGCCCTCCTCAACTGCAACTTTTAAATGACAGCTTTCTCTGTAGCTTGGGGTGGCCATCTTGCGAGCAAGCCATGTCGTTCGGGGCAGCGAGCAAAACGCCCGCAGGTAGTGCAAGGGGAGCGACCGGAGCGGTGCCGGGACCGAGTGCGAAGGATGGCTTCATCGCTGGAAAATAACCAGTAAGAGTTTTTACCGAGGTCGAGAGAGAGCAGGGGGGGGGGGGGAAGGAAACTCTTCTTCCAGGCTAGCCGGCAGAACCACCCGATCCCAACCAAGAATGCGGTCTTTTGCTACGCGACGGGCTCCTGCGCTTGATCGGGCAAAGCCACGTTGCGGACTTGTCCGGAGCAGAGGAGGACGTCATTTCAGAACGTGCAGCCCTGCTCCAAAGGCTTCCTACGGACTGCGCTTCCACCCCCGCGTTTATCGGCCCCCTCGGTTAAAACTCACTTGCCCGGGATGAGGGAGCCCGAGTCGCGTCCCCGGGGCGCCGAGGCACCGCGGGAGGATCCGGCCACCGCAGCGATTCCACCGCAGCTCAACCCTCAGCTCAGGGGGCTGCTGGGAACAGGAAGGTCCCCGATTAATTTAACCCCCTATTCCTCCTCCTCCTCCTCCCTGCTGTATTTCCTGGTGATCGCTAGGAACAGAGAGGAACTAGGAGCTCTATGGTTCAGGGTAGGGGTGTTGGTTGCGCGCTCTTGGAGACGAGGGTGGAAATGAGGCGGTGGTCCGTCTCCCGGAGCTGGACTTAAAGGCTCAGGCCGACCGGGAGGGGTTGGGTGAGTTCCCGCTCCCCTCAGGCCGGCTGCAAACTGCGGGGCTCTCTGTGCATCCAGATTAGATTTAGGAGTATCTCAGACTCCCGGGTTGTCAGTAGCAGGTTTGGGGCGTTGGTAGCAAACGGTATCGATTGCAGTGGGACTTTCTGCAGAGGGGAAAACGGAGGGGCGTGCTGCGTTAATTGGTCCGGGAGGATTCATACGTATAAAGTTGCTCTGGGCATCGCTGGGATGAGCGGTGGTGAATGCAAGGAGAGGCAGGCAGCTAGAAATCATGCACAGTGGATCTCCCTTCCCTGCATGCAACAGTCGCATAGGTAAGTAGAAGGCAGAGAGAAAGGCCAAATAAAAAGTAGCCTGTCGTACCTGCGTTTTGTCTGGGTGTTGCTCGGGTATGGCTAACTGGATTTATCGTTTCATAGAACTTCCTGCAAATCAGCCCTGGATTAACCATTAAGCAAAAGAAGCCTGTGTTTAGGGCACCAAGGGAAGGGGGGCAGACACAGCTTTTTCCCCTAGCTGTCATGCCCTTAACTCTTTCACCACCACGCTTGACTTTAGTTTTCCATACATTTTTGTATTTGCATTTTTCCCCTTATAACAATGTTATTAAAAATGCATTAAAAGTTGAAAACTTGCGTTTTTTCTGTTCTCCTAGTTATAAGTAAATAATTAGCTTTAATCGCTTGCTGCTATTTAATGTTAAATGAATTTTTTTTTTAAAAAAAGTTTATATTTAATATAGTTCTGGGGTCCAGCTTGGGGAATGGTCTGGAAGAATACTGAATTTTTAATTTCACCTTCAGCACTTATTGAGACTTAATGTTTTGTCAGTTAAGCTGTGGAAGGGCAAGGGGCCCTGTTGTTGGACTGTGCTTCAGGCATCAGTTGACCTTAATCTGGCCCTGCCCCAGATGAGTAGAATTCAGTTCCTGCAATTGCCCAGCTAGCCTGGCCATGGGAGTAGAAGTGTGACACAATTTTCCAAGGCAATGGAAAATTTGAACCTTCAAAGTTTTGCATACATCATGATCCTTTTATGCTTAATTGGCAGATTGGCAGATTTGTAGTTTATTTGTTGTTGGGGGGGTTTTTGTTTTGTTTTTTTACAAGAATTCTGTGACCAACCAACCCAAACCTGATTTAAAAACAAGCAAACATATCTACAGTACTTTCTGCCTCCCCATGTTCTAGTTGATTAATAATGTAGCTGACCAATTAGATCTGGCCCTTGATTTTGCAGTTGCTACCCTCCCTCCCTAATGTATTACATTTGTAATATAAATACATTTCCTGAATGGGGTACAGGTAGTCCTCAAGTTCCGACTGCAGTTGGGACCAGGACTGCTGTCACTAAGCAATGCAGTCATAAAGCATGACATCACATGACCACATTGCTTAGCAATGGCAATCCAGGCAGTCCCAGTTGTTGTAGTAACCCAAGATGAGCGGGTTGTTAATTAGGAAGTGGAGGGAGTCCAGGTAAGGAACGTGGGGTGCCACAGCAGGGTGGGGGAGGCCTGGTGCAGACCATGCACAAGTTGGGGGAGGGATGCTCCGGCGCAAGCTCAGAAAGGCTGGGGAATGAGGGCATGGGGTGCATGCAATCACAGGGAGGCTGGGGAAAGAGGGCACAGGGTATGTGCATGTGTGTGTGCACAATCGCAGGGAGGCTGTGGAAAAAGGGAGTGGGGCACATGTGTGTGAGCGCAGGGAGGCTTGGGAAAGGGTGTGGGATGCATGCACACGTGTGTGCAAGTGCAGGGAGGCTAGGGAAAGAGGGTGCAGGGTGTGTGCGAGGAAATGATAATACTCTTCCCTCAGAGGTGAGACAGGCCCCAACTCTCTTGTCCTTCCGGAAAGCAATCAAGACCTGGCTCTGCCAACTGGCATGGGCGAAAAAAGGGGCAACCAACTCTGGGGGTGGCTACCACCTTAAAGATGCTCCCATATGTTAACATCTTACTGGAAGGTATTATTATTTGCGTATGTGTTTGGTTTTATTCTATTTTTACTGAATATTGTTTTATTGTATTTTAATTAATATTTATTGTTGTTTTATTGTGAATCGCCCAGAGTCACTTTTTTGTGAGATGGGCGGTATCTAAATTTGAAATATAAAATAAATAAATAAATAAAAGGGGGAAGGAGGGCACGATGCATGTGAGTTAAGAAAGGCCGGAGGGGGGAGACTTACCCCAGTGAGTTGTGACCTTCCTTGCTGGCTTCCCATTGACTTTGCATGGGGAAAGCTGGCAGGGAAGGGCGCAAATGGTGATCATGTGACTCCGGGACACTGCAACTGGTCGTAAGTGCAAGTTGGTTGCCAGGCGCTTGAATTTGTTCACATGACCACAAGGGCACTGTAACAGCCAGAACTTTGAGGACCGGTCATAAGTCCCTTCATTCAGCACCATTGTAACTTCAGTCACTGAACAAATGGTTGTAACTCGAGGATTACCTGTACCTGTAATCCCATTAAGGCAATTGCTGAGTGGATCATACCAGGACTGTAACTGCAGTCCTAGTTTCCATTAGATCAGTTTTAAGCCACATTGGCTATGCTCATTAGGGATGATAGGTGTTGTAGTCTAACACCTGGAGGATACTTTCATAAGATTAGGGGAGGCTGCTTCAGTCAGATATAAATAATGTGTAAGCTGCTGTTCTGACTTGCAGATTTGGAGGATGTAATGTTTCTGTCTCATAGTGGTTTATTTGGTTTGAACTGCTCTCTCCTACTTGCCATCCCATTCTTCCATTTTATTTGTTTTAATTAATTCTCATGAAGACTAAGCTGCTAGTGTTCTTATGACATAAACATTGCTTGCAGGTTAGAGTTCTAAGGCACTGATGATGTTGGGTAACAAAATGCCTGCAAGCAAACAACCAAGCTCAGACAGCACCAAGGACTCCACAGTTCTAAAAGTTGCTAACTGTTGAAAGAGGAATGAAAAGATGGCATTTCTTGCTCCCCAAGGGTTGGTTATCTGAATGCAAATGCATGGCATCAGAAGTTAAAAAGAAAAAAGCAACTGAGGTAGTCCTCTTTTAATCCATTGTAAAATTCTGATCTACAGGAATCAGCAACTCTTTATGGAGCATCAATAAATCTTGCCACTTTCTGATCTCTCCTTTTCTGTTTCCTGTTACCACACATACACACAAACTTTCTCTAGACAACTCTCTCTACGTCTAATGAAATGGGCTGAAGTTCATGAAATCTAACATTATAATAAATTGGCCAGTTTTTAAGATGCCTCAGGACTTTTTCAACCTATGAAGATGGATGAATCACACTGCCTGTAAGTAAAAGGAAAAAACAAAGTTGACAGCACTATTCCTTCCCCCATTAATCTTATATGGCAGTTTTATCTTGCTTTAAGATTTTCCATCAATTTTTCATTTTGCATCTGTTCTATCAGATATGAACTGAAAGAAGGGAAGTAGAGCAATTATACAATGCTAAGCTAGGATTTTTTTTTCACAATAGTTTATTGAGCAAGCCAGAGTGGCATAGTTTACATAAAGACTAAACCTTTAGTTCCCACTCTTTCTTTATGGTGACCATTACATCATCACTGAATACCTTGTGTGAACCAAGAAAGTTTGGGGGCCTCTGCATTTCACTAATTCTTAGGTTCCCCCCAAAAGTAACAGTGCATAGGTGTAGTTGATAGAACACATCCGTGCCCTCAATCTAGAGCGCTACTGTCCCTATGGATATTTTTCTTGGTGGGTGCCAGGATCTCCATCTCCCTTGATTTTTGGTGTTGAAAAGAATAGTAAATTAAGAAACTGGCACTTTGCAAAACAGCTAGAATCCAGTATTGTCTTGATTTTGAAGAATACTGAAATAAGCCCCATAACATTTATCGAATAAAATGGGGCATATCTGAAGTCAAGTGGTTTAGTACAGAGTATCCACCTTCCCCTCTCAAAACAGTTGTAAGATGGGGGAATATGGGTGACCTGTTGGAGGGATGTAAGCGATGGTGGCAGGCTCCATTCTGATGAACCAGGCATGTCACAATGGCAACTATTTCCGAATGGGTAACCTCTACCTTAGTTGTTTTGTGAGACTGCCCACATGTTCTCAAAATCCCAGTATCTCCACCCATACAAACAGTTGGGGGCTCTGCTCTAAAATATGGTGTTTCACTACTGCTTATTGAAGAATCATGGAGTTGGAAGGATATTAGAGGTCATCTTAACAATTGGCTAAAAGTTGCAACTTGGCCGAGTTCACTACTTGCTACGCCATAAATTATAGTTTACAAACTGAATGGCTGGGTTAACACAATTCTCCTTAAACTAAAAAAAACGGGCTGCTTGGTTTAAGCTTAGCAAGTTCTGTGAGTCGGGCCTTAATTTGCTTGCTCAGCTTATTAACCTGACTGAAAAAGCTAAGCCAGAAGTCAGTCCCACTGAATCCAATGCCGCTTTCTTCTAAGCCAGTGTTTCTTAAAGTGTGGTCCTAGGACCTCTGAGGGGTCCTTGATATCAAAATTATTTGCCAGCCTGTACTGAAAAATAATGCAATATTAAAATCCCATCAAACAATTGTGAGAAGCAGTAGCGGCAGCGAATGCATCCATTTTAATTTTTAATACGGTAAATATCAATGAATACACTGTAACCCATACAAACAAAAGCCCTTTTGGGGTCCTCCATGATTTTTAAAAGTGGGAAGAGAAAAAAGTTTTAAGAAATCCTGTTCCAGGCAAACCGCCTCACACTCCAGCGTTGGGTCAGCCGCAAGAGCGGCGAAAACCCTCTCGAGGTTCTCCTCGAACCTCTTAAGAAGCTTCGCCGTAGAACTTCCTAAGGATTGGAAGGCAGAGGGGTGAGGGGCGGGACTTAATTACCATTCGCTGAGGTCATTGGAGGGTATTTGTGGAAAGGGCCGGCTTTAAGGGAGATGACGGGAGGGGGGAAAGGAGGGAATTGATCGGCGCGACAACTTGTTGGCGGGTGTCGGGGTTCCGGGAAGTCGGTTGCTCTAGCTGTCATTGTCCGTGGTTTCCGGTCGCTGAGGGTCGAACTTCCGAGCAGCGGAGGGCGCGCGGTCAAGTCGGCGCCAAGTCGGTGAGTGCGGAGGGGAGTGACGCCGCGCCCAGGCTCTTGTTGCGCCCTCCGGGCCCTTTGCTCGACGGAAGGCAGCCTCCCGGGCGATAGGTGAGGCGGCCCCGCCGAGGGGCGAAGGGAGAGCGGGATCCGTCCCTTCGCGGCGACCTCGGCTTGCGGGGCAACTCCCGGCGGCGCTCCTGAGGCAGCCGCCCTCCCCGCATCAGGCGCCCTCCGCATGTGCTGGATTACAGTTCTTATCATCTCCAGCCAGTCTGGCAGGGAGTAATGGAAGACGTCGCGTCTGCGCCTGGAGGGCGTCGGGTTGGGAGGATCCCTGTGGATCAGGATTTTTCCCGACGCGTATCTTGTTTCTTGTCGAAGCGTTGATCCAAATGCGGGCATAAAAACATACGTTCCTACAGTTACAGTAGCTGTTCTTGGATGCCTATCGTCTGTGTCAGTCAGCCTTCAGAAATACACGATTAGGTGGCTGGCAGCTGTTCGAGTGGCAGGAGAGAGTCCTGTCCTCGTGCAGAACGACCCCTGTTCCCGATAAGTGTTGTGTGTGCAAGGGAGGAGTTAATTCCCTCTGGAAAACGTAAAGGCTGCGATCTGTTGTTTTCTTTGGCAATAATGCTGTAGGCGGAGAGCCCTGTTAGTCTATGGTAGCCAAAAATCAGGAGTCTGATAGCACCTTTTCAGACTAATGCATTTTGTTAGTCCAAAAAGATGCTGTGGTGGTACCAGGCTCCTGATCTTTGGCTACCATAGACTAACACCACTCTCCTGCAGTGTCTACAATGAGAAGCACCAATTTGGAAGTGGAAATCCATAAAACTTAGCAAGGAATTAACATAGAAAGAAACAGACATCCTTTTTCTAACCAAATGCCAACACCATGACATTCTTAAAAGACTGAAAGTGAAGAACCCTCTACTCTACAGCCTACATACCACACAGACTACAGCCAAAGATTATGCTATATCCTCTCCAAGAAATTCCTAAACCATCTTATCAGCATTCTTTAGACAAGCAAAAGTTAATCACTACTACTTTAAAATTGTTAGTCTGAAAAGGTGCTCCCAGACTTCTGATTGGTTTGCTATTGTTGCCTTCTGGGATATTTTTTTTCACTTTTTAATTTAGCCTATAGCCCTGAGATTTCCTCTCGGTCTCCCATCCAAGTAATAACCAGGTCTGACCCTGTGTATTTGCTAGGTGCTGCTAGCTTGCTTCATTTTCATACTAGACTCTCTGGAAAGAACTGCCATCCCACCTCTTCTATCAATTTGTTTGTAACCCAGGGCTACTAAGGTAGTGCTTAAATACTGCTTAAATGAGTATGTGTTATAAAACAAAATGATGGTGTTAAAGCAAACTGCTTCTGGAAAATTAAGTAACGCTTGGAGGTAAGATAAAACATGTTCCTAAGCTTCTGCAGAAAAGCTTAAGTTGGAAGTTAACTCAAATTCTTGCTCGCTGGCCATGTGGCTGGGGTTGTCAGTTGTATTCAACACGCTGAAGGCTACCATCTTGTAGAAAGTTGTTCTTGGCTTTTAAAAATTTCTCTGCTTTAATTTTTTTTGGAGGGGATTGGATTCTGATGGACCAACAGAACCACTAATCATCTTTGTCAGGTTGTAGTAAGGTTACTCAGCTAATATTAAAACTGCAAAACGCTAGCAGTTTAAGTACAGCACTTTTAGTAGAGGTGCAGCTTGTTATGTAACAGCTTGTGATTGGCATGGCTGCGTGACAGAAAAGAGAAGCCTTGTATATCGAGACTGAAGAGTTACTTTCCCTTAGAATACGTTGGAGCCATTTTGTTGATGCATGTAGGAACTCTCAGCTATCTTGGAGACGGTCCAGATTGCTGCTTGTTTATTAATTTCTCATGGCTTGCTAATGGTTGTCTTGCAGCATAGCAAGTTCTGTTTCAGCTCATTTCTAATTGGAGGCGATGGCAATCTCTCGACAATATTTTTACAAGGCATATGCATTCTCTTTCCCTCCTCCTATCTCATTTATCATATTGTACAATCTTTGTTGTACTGTTCTTTGTATGGTTTGGTGCAACATAAAAAATAAATGTTCCTTTCAGACACTATTGTAATGACCTGGGTTGCAGCATCAATCTGAATTTAAGACTTGTCTGGTACTACCGAATGTTTCACCTTGCTTGCAGCATAAAAAAAAAATGAGGTGATGGCTGCACTACAATTATAATTATAATTTCATAGCCTCAAGGATTGTTTATAAACTGTCAACTTGTGAACATAATTTGTTGCTCAAGTCTCCAAATAGAAGAATTAAACTTGTTCAATTGCATGTTCTTTAATAAGGAGTTTTTCTTTAGAATTTTGAACTTAAAAAGAATGGAATCAGAAGCACAACACGCTTAAAAATTTGATGGTCAGAATAATAACTCTGCAACTAGGGGCACACTTGCATTTTAAGTGATGTGCTTGAGTCAAAAGAAATTTGAAATGTAAATGTTCATGAAACCAATGTTAATTATAGAATATAAATACTTTCTAGCCAAGTATCATTGGGGGAACAAATAAAGTCTAAATCACCCTTTTCCAACCTAGTATCTTCCAGATGTGTTGATCATGCTGGCTAGAAATTCTAGACTTTCTAATCCAATACATTTATTGTAACATTTTGTTTAAAAAAGCTAAAGGTACCAATCGATTCCTGGTGATTGTATGAACACAACCATGCAGTATTTTTGGCACAGTATAGTCATGATTTGTCAGTGCTTCCTTCTGGAATGTTTTGCAACCTCCCTGGCTAGTTTACAACCCTGATATTCTATAATGGTCTCCCATCCTACTACCCTTCAAAGCAGAGTTCTTCCAGAGAGATTTACAACAGTAAAAAAAAAAAAATTACATTTTAACCTAAAGTAGTAATTAAAATGCAATATATAAGCAATAAAAGCATAGACAGTAAACATGCATTTAAAATATTGCAGTACATAATAAACATATTACTATATCAAAAGGCTTGGGGAAGTATGATGGTTTTGCCTGGTGCAAGGAAGATTCTAAAGTAAGAACCAGGCATGCTTCACTGTGATATGGAAGGTATTCCTACTATTGAGAACATCAGACAAACAGGTGTCGCATTTTAGCCTAAGAAGGCGATTGGAGCAGGGCCTTCGAAAACGACTGTTAGGAATATATGTGAAAAGGTTCAGATTGTGGTCCCAAACTTGGGAAGACCTTTATAGGTTAATTTGAGGACCTTGAATTGAGACTGGAAATGAACTGGCAGCCTGTGAAGTTCATGCCAAACTGGTGTAGTACAAACAGTTATACTCCCGTGGCTGTATTTTGTACTAATTGATGTTTCAGAACTGTCTCCAAGGACAATCCCAATTCAGTAATCTAAGCAAGTCTCCCTTGAGTTGAGCTGATCTCCTGGTGACTTTATAGAGACCTCACTGTAACTTTCTTAGCAACATTTTGGAAGTAGTTTGCCATTGTCATCTACTGGGATTTATTTATTTTCCCAATCTATATCTGTGAGGTTCCTTGGCAGTCTTCTATCAAAGTAGTAACTAAGTCTGATCCTACTTAGCTTTCTCCAGTTCAGCTAGGTAGGTTTCTAAAGTGAGGGCATCATCATCTACTTAAGAGTTAAAGCTGTCATACCAATCTAAGCTGGTAAGAGGAGCACTTGTATGTTTGATGGTAGAGACATAGAAGCACCCTCAAGCTGCAGACTGGATCCATTGTGGGAATGCCCCAGCAAAAGATACTGGAAATGTGGTTGGAGATCATTGTTTTCCTGGTATCCTAGAAAAATTATTGATAATAAAAATAACATTGGGTTACTCAGACTAAAGATCTTATTTTCATAAGATTTCAGATTTTATTCTTAAGATAAATATTTTACATCACTTTGCTGTCTTTATTTCTTGATTTTAATACAGTCAAATCAATTTTGCATGAAGTTTAGAGCATGTTTACCATCTCTTAATCTCCAATTAATGTCTACCAATACCAGCTGACTATGTGAATGAATTCATTTAAAAGATATTATGTCTTGGATAATAGTTGTACATGTAGTGTACAGCCAAGTGTGAGCCACCTCTTAAACCTCAGATTATTCTCGTTGACTAATTTCTCATCATTCCATGTCAATGAACATAACAATTTGACAATATTTTATTATTTATTGCTATTGCTGTATAGCTTGCTGGGATTTCTAAATATTTGTTTTTAAAGAAACTGTATTTTAAAAAAAGTTCTTCTTTTATGTGTGCTTCTTCAGGCAACTTGGAGCATGTAAAGTAACCAAGGAAACTGAATTCCAGTATGTGGTATATTATGCAGAGCATCCAGAGTAAATATTCTTTGTCGGAGCGCTTGATCCGGACTATAGCAGCCATCCGATCCTTCCCGCATGACAATGTTGAAGACCTAATAAGGAGGGTATGTGAAAAAAGCTGAGATAAGTTTTTAGGGTTTTTTTTCTGGGAATGTTTATAAAGTCTAGGAGACTGAATCTGACTTTACTTGTGTCTGTTGCAGTCTTAAGCAATGATTCCTTTGAGCCCCTGTTCCTTCCTCCTAAATTAACTCTGCAAGATTTGACAGGAAGAGGGAATGGAGACCACTCTTCTTCAAGTGCAGTTATGGCCCACTTTCTTGTGTGTCTTCAAGTAGGAGAGGGAGAACCCTGTTTCTTGGGCTCTTCGGTATTGCATCTCTTGTCCTCTGTACGTACTTCTCTTTCGCCCATGGGAAGGAATTAGTGCCATTTACTTACTTACTTGGGCAAACGAAAGGGATGCAATTGGACATAAGTAGGATGCACTCGGAACTGCTTACTGTGAGTCCAGCTGTTAATACTGAAGCCTGTCACCCATCCTGGATTCTTTCTGTTGATCATATTTGAACAGGAAAGAATGATGGAAACCATATTCTGTGTTTCAGAGATTGCCCGTACAGATATTTTTTTCCATATAGTGTTAGCTGAATACCTAGGGTCAGATAATTTCTATTGAGACTGAGATCATAATAACATGACTCTTTTAGCATTATTTAACTCATATCCCTGAATTGTTTTCCCCTTCTTAAAATCTTAGGAACTTTGGGAAAGTTAAGGAGTAAGAAAAAATTCTTAAACTTATGTGGCATTCGTAACAATCAGCTATTATAAGTCTTACACTGTCCTTCTCCATATTGGTATTTTCTAATGGTATTAGATTTCTGGAAGACACTAAGCTGAGATCAGCTGATTTTTCAACAGCAGTAGATTTCAGGACAGTGTGAGAAGAATACTTTAAATAGCCTTCATCAACCTGGTCACATCAAATAGTCATGCTGATGGGAATTTCTGGGAATTGTGCTCCCAGTACCTGGAAGACATCAAGTTGTGGAAATCCAGGTTAAGCAAATGATGGCCTTGGCCCTCTTGTGAGAAAAAGATGTAACACTGGATGTGAAGAATGGCATTCTAGGGAAGAAGTGTGAATAAACTGAGAAATGAGAAATGAGAGTCACAGCAGCAGATGTGACAATGTAATGACCCTAACATTTAATAGCTAGTGTCTAATAGCATGCCTTAAGTTTGCTAGATCTTTAAGAAGTTGCTGGGTTTTTAGCACTGTCATATGCCCCAGAAAAGTCAGGAAATGGTAGGAAAACAATGTAAAAATAATACCACTTTTATATAAATAGTTTTATGAATAGTTTTGCATGGTGCCTAATGTGTAAGCTTTGGATTTTAACATTCACCTGGGGGAAAAACTTGAAGATTGTGTAGTTTCTGTGAACAGAATTGGCATGGAAACAGCTTCCCTCTGTATCATGATCCCAGCTCTGCTCTTATTTCCTACTGTTGTCACTGCAGAATAATACAACTCAGCAGTAGGAAATAGTCCTCATTACTCTTCCTTCCTCTGCTCCTATGGAAGAGGAAAGAGGAGATCTTGCCTCACAAAAGGCAGCAGTTATGTAACTGAAACATTACATGATATTTTTCAAGCAGGTAGAAATGTGATCTTCTGAGTATATAAAGATTTTTGAAAAGAAGGTACATTTAGACATTTTTACCATGCTATGATCTGTACAACACATACAAATCCCAGAACTATATATTTTTTAGGTTTTTTTTTATTCTGTATGTATTGACAGATGTTCCAAGAATTGTTCCAATTGTGGAGATCAAATTGGCTGTTTTTGTTTCTGCTGGTCTACATCTATTGCTTTTTAGTCATAAATTCAGCTGTAATAGTATTTCTAAGCTACCTTTCAACCTACCCCCAAAAGGAACTACAATTTAATTCAACAATATGAAAAAAGAAAAAGGCAATGCAAAGCATGCTTTAAAATTATCCAGAATGAAATTAAAATTTTGTCAGAAGCCTGGCAAAACTGTGTGTTTCTAGTCACTCACCTAAAATGCATTGATGAACTTACTCAGAAATTTTGCATTTGAAGAGCTACCACAGAAAAGGTACAGTTTTGTATTCTCACTAATGTTCTATAGTTGAGTTCTTCCAGAACAGCCTCCACTAATTTGCTGTCTTCCATCTACAAAAGGACTGTTCCCTGTCTGCATTGCCTTTCCAAGTTGCAGTCCTCACATGCTTGGAGGGCATCAAGTTGGGGAAGGATGCTTTTTCAGTGAAGAATGAGCAAGTTGAGGAGGGTTTTTAAAGAAAGTCCATGCTACTTCTTGCCATAAATCTGTGGCTTTGGCTCTATAAAACAGGGAGTTCAAGGAAGGTGACTTATTCCAGTTACAAAACAGACAGCTTGTAGTTTTTTAACCAGTGTTTCTTAAACTAGTTTAAGCCTGATATTTTTTTTTTCTTCAGAAGGTTTGAATACTCCTCAGTGTCAAATTGCAATAGACAAGCAGTTTCCAATTATTCAGCTCTTGGAGAGGCTGAGATGCATATTGAGCTTGATTGATGCTGTCAGCTGCTTTGCCATATAAGTTGTTTAGGAGCTAGTCTGCAGTCAGGAAGTCTCCAGGAGTCAAGACTGACTCAAAGGTACCAAAAAAGAAAAGACAAGATCTTTCCTGTCCTGGTGCTATCTAAAATTACTAGACTACTGTAATTTCCAGAAAATGTGCTGGTTAGCTTGGGAATCACTGTGCTCATTGCCCAGTTCATCTAGAGAAAAATTGGAAAAGGCTGGTTTAATAAGTTAGAGCAATTTTCCCCAATTTGCATGCCCTCCAGACATATGGATGTCAGCTTTTAGAATTCTTAGCAGTGGCAGAGGAATCTGGAAGTTAGAAGTCTGCACATCTGTAGAAACAATCAGTTTGGGAGAAGGCTGTTTACAAAAATCAAGGGAAGGAAAAGCATTAGAGGAGGAAGGTCAACTTCATAGTACCTGAGAGAAGTGAACTTTTCCCTAAAAAGTAGTAGTAAGTTCTGGCCAAAGGCTGTAGTCAAATAGCTTCAGTTTTCCAAAATATGTAAATATAGATAAAGCTCTTAAGACTTAAAGCAGATATTGATGTTATTATTTTATTGAGATGGCACCATGAATAATCTGAGATTTGAACATCAGAAAATCATGATCTTGCTCTAAGAACTACATTGCTGTGTATTTCTCTACTAGTTCCTGTTTCTTTTACATGTAGAATAAAAATAAAAACTTTAGTTTTACAATTCCTGCAGACCTATATACAAAACTTTCTGCATTTTCCTAAAAAGTTTAATGTTCTTGAAAATTCTGCCTCTGCCCTGTCTTGCACCATATTCTTCTCACTGAATGGAAGATGGCAACAGCAGTAATCTGAATTTCTTTTGCTTCTCTTACTCCATTTGGTACCTGCCTTCCTCATTCTCTTTGGGTATCCACTTCTGTGGATTCCTTATTCCACTCTTAAACCCACAGTCTGACTTCTCCCTTGCTCAACACTAGAAAGAGATAAATAGTTTTCTACCAACTCTCTTCTTTTTCCCAGGGACTGATCTAACACTTGCAGAGAGCTGCTTAAGAAAGGCAACATGTGGAATACATTTCATCAGGAAGGAAAACATTTTGGTCATGTGTGCAGTCTTTTATGAATAGAAAGTCTTTTTAAAGCCAACCCAGAGAAAAGAGAATATTTAGCTTCAGGGACCTGCTGAATTGGAATTAGAAAAAGTAGGATTAGATTGGTAGGAGAGGGAGTTTATGGTTCTCTAATTCTCTAGAGATGAATAGTCTCAGATTTATGGGGGATAAGGTATATATGAATTGGTATCTTTTTAATTTGTGGGGGGATCATGCAACACTTTCTGATGGAAGAGCTAGACTTAAGTTTGACTTTTTTCTATATTGTTGTATAGTAGAAATAAGTTATAATTACCAAGCTAAGATGCAACTTTTAAACCATGTCCACATCTATTGATAGTGTGCCCTGTAAGAATTTAAAGACAATTCCCAAGGCTGTTTTTTTTTTTACTTTCCTAGCTTTCTTAAACAGAAGGACCAGGCCTTGCTGAATATGTCATAGTTACCACTACTGTTTTTAAAATGTTAAGGCAATAAATAATTAGCAATAAATATGAGGAGCCTGATGATAAACTAGCTTTTTAATTTCAGTCTGGGTATTTCAGTTTATGAATTAAAGATGCCCTGATCTCTCTTGCTTTTAAATGGCAAGTTCATCATGTAAAGGTTATATAATGGTTATGCTGATGGAAATAGATGTACATGATGAGTGTCCTTCACTTTTTCTCCTCTGTTCTTCCAGGGAGCAGATGTCAACTGTATGCATGGTACCCTGAAACCATTGCACTGTGCTTGCATGGTTGCTGATGCAGATTGCATTGAGCTGCTGTTGGAGAAAGGAGCTCAGGTAAGAAGAACACAAGCCTCTTGAAAAACAAATCCAGAAAACCAATCGAGTGGATTATAACCAGATTTATCAAACACTTTAATGAGATGCAAGGGCAGTGTAAGGTTGGATAGTATTGTATTGTATTGTATTGTGCTGTTGCAGGTTCTGAGGTTGAAAAATATGACATTCCAAATGCTGTTGAGTGAGTTCATAGAAGACATGAGATCTAAACTATGGTAGTTTACCAACACAATGGTGGTAGCTCTTTGGCTAAGCCTAAAACCTCTTGCATTGTGAAGGGTTTAAAAACGTTTTTAGTTCTCAGGTTATCTAGTTTACTTGTACAGTGATACCTCGGGATACGAACTTAATGCATTCCGTGACTCTGGGCGTATCCCGAGTTGGTCGTAACCCGATGCAAATTTCCCCATAGGGTTCAATGTAAATCCAGTTAATCTGTTCCACCCTCCGAATTTGGTCGCAGGTTCAATGTAATTACCGTTAATCCGTTCTGGTGTCCGCGGACCACGCGTCAGGGTCGGGAGAACGGCCGGGCGCGATGCGGCGCAGCGGGAAAAAGGCCGGGC